AACATCATTGTAGTTATTTTTCATATAGTTTTATTTATTTTATTAATAAATAATATTTTGTTATCAACAGGCTCTTAGAAGTGGTTTTGTTTTTGGAATAGTTCGCTTAAGAGGAATAAGGAAATCTGGAAAATTAATTTCGAGATTTTAATCGTAAGATCATATTTTAATTTGTTAGTCATAAATTTAGAAATTATGTTTTTTATTAGTTTTAGATAAGTATTTACTTTTAATTTGCACCGAATATTAGTTTTAGTATTTAATTTCGTACCTATTTTTATTTGGAGTTTCAATCTCATTTTAGGTCCTTACAATACAATAAAATTGATTTTTTTGTAACCCTTTAACTATAACTTTTTTTTGCCGCCACCTCAACAACCTCCTAGCACCACCAGTTACGACCATCGGAAAAAAAATGTCAAGATGTGTAAAAATGTCATCTTGATGGCATTGTCAGAGAAAAATGATTGTGAGCCCGTTTGGTAGCACCAAAATCGGCTGTTTTGGCTGATTCTGCTGAAATTTATGATATTCTGGCTGGAGTGGCTGTTTTGGCTGATTCTGCTGATTTAAGAAAAAAATATTTTAAAAATATATTTTATTAATAAATTAAAAAAAAAATATATGTAAAAATAGCTAAAATGGTCCTCTACAGTAACTTCAGCCAATACAGCCAGAAAAGTAACTTCAACCTTACTTTTTCGGCTTATTACACAATTCAGCGCGCGAAAGTAAAAGTTACGTGTTTGGTGAAAAAGCTGGCTGATAAGCCTGATAAGCCGAAAACAGAGTTCTCCAAACGGGCTCTGTTTGTACACGAAATAGCATTTTTTAGCCGATCTGAGATATCACTGATGGGCGGTGGCTCATGAGGCCGTGGGAAAGAAATAGAAAGAAATAGATAACACTCTACTCATCCCATTTTATCCGCAATCTCTTCTCCAAACTTCTTATCTCTCTTGTTCGGTAGCTGGCGATGCTTTGATTTAGATTCAGAAACAACTGACCATTGACCAAGGCTCTATGTCTCTAACGTTTTGGGATAACAAATTTGAAAAACGAATGAGAAAGTCGGAATCCTTATAGAAAGAAAAGAATTTGAATGTAAGAAATCAGAGAAAGTGCATTCTAGAAAGACCAAGGAGATCAATAGAAGAATGATTCATAAGGCGGTTTTCTTTTTGCATGCATATGTATTTGTATCATATGTGAGAAAAATGAGGATGACCTCTATTACAAGTTGCCTTTACATATTTTGGTTCGATGATTGTATTTACATATTCTTTTTAAAATACATAGATTTAAGTGACCGATCTGCATTTGTACAAAAGTGTATTTGACTCTTTTTCTATTATTAATTTATAATAAGGTAGGTTAGAATATTTAAATGAAAACACAACTAATACTCCGTAACACAGGTTTTAAATAAAAAGTAAAAATCATTTGATGCTTCGATCTGTTATTCAAAATGAAGGCAAAATTTTTGTATAAAGATTTTGTAATTATTCTCAACTTCTCCATTAATATCCGTTATCCACCCATTTAAATTCTTTGTTTTTGTAATTATGGTTCCATACTTTCATTCTATATAAGGGAAACTGTCAATTAAGTCCTCGTGCTTTAAAAAAATCAATCAAATCCTCAAACTTTGTAAAAACGTTTAATTGAGTACATTTGCATGTTACTTTCCATGGCAGCCCAATCATCAATAATTTTGCTGGCGTAGCACACATGTGAAAGTCCAGTCAGCCGTTCGTTGATGATGTGGCGCACACATGGACCGCCATGTGTGTGCCATGTCGGCGGGTGACCTGTTGACATGACAAATAACTTGCAAATGTACTCAATTAAACGTTCTTACAAAGTTCGATGATTTGATTGATTTTTTTTTTTAAAAATGAGGACCAAATTGACTTTCCCATTATATAATCATCCATAGGTATAACAAAAATGGAAGAAATAATAAATCATACGTAGTAATAGCTTACAATATTTAATAGAAATTAGTCTAGATAAGATTAAAAATTCCCAAAAATGCACAAATCGGAATACTACATTTTTTACCATCCTAAATAGGACTAAACATGGATTTCCTACCAGAAATGTCCCTAAGGGTATTATTTCATAATGAAATCTAATTCATAATAAAATCTTGAAAATAATAAATAAATAAAAATCGTAAAAGAAATAAATAAAATAAAACATATTTAAAAATTGAATTTTTAAAAAAAATCAAAAATAGTAAAAACCCATAAAAAATTTTAAAAAATATGGATACCTTTCCCACCACCTCCCAGCACCACCTCTGTCGATCGGTAAAAATTTTGTCTTTTTTTAATAAAAATTCCATTTTTCGAAAATGCCAAGAAAATGGCATTATTACTCTTCGTAGTGCCAAAATTCTCATTGAATCTTCCATTATTATGACATTACTAAACATGTTTGCAATTTTTTTAAAACAAATTAATAAAAAATAGTAAAAACTTATACAGCAAAAAAATATGAATACCTCCGATCGTGAAAATTGTGGCATTTTTTGTAAAAAAAAAAAAGACATTGTTTTCTGAAAATGCTAAGAAAATGACATTATTACTTATCATAATACCAAAATTCTCATTGAATCTGCCATATTATGGCATTACTAAAAATGTTGGTAGATTTCCAACCGATGATGGGAGTTGGAGGTGTTGGGGTGGCTGAGGCGGCGGCGTTTTTTTTTTTTACATTTTAATTTTTTTATTTTTTATTTTAATTATTTAAAAACAAAATTTTCTAATTTTTTTATTTTATATATATTTTATAAACTTTTTAATATTTTTTAACGTTTTTAATATTTTTGTCGTTTTTTAATATTTTTTTATTATTGTTTTATGATTTTATTATTAATGAAGACCATTGTTCTAAAAATCGGTCTAGTCACCCAACTAGTCCCCGCCTAGACGCTAGGCGGTGGCCAGACATCCGGATTTTGGCCTAGGCACTCCGACTAATTGATTTGACACTAAGGTTAATTAGTCGGCCGCCTGCGGCGCCTAATTGCCCGTCTAGAGAGCTTACTCGGCCGCTTAGGCGTCTAGACTCGTCGAACATTTTATTTTGCGTTTGTATTATAGTGGTCTAAGAGATGTAACTTTAACTTTAACAACTAATATGAAGAAAGCTACTAGTTGTAGCGAAAGAAAAAAATTATACATGTTTGTATATAATGTTAATTGTTATTATTATTTAATATGTAGTAATATTTATTATGTAGGTATAATATATTATTAAATGTCACAACTCTATCATTCATGCATGTTAATGTGTACGTGTGTGTGTTTGTTTGTTTTTTACACACACAAACACAACATTACTAATCCAAAAATATTGATATATATAAATTTCTCTGTCTTTGACTAGTCTCAGCCTAGGCGTCCGCATGGTCAGCTAAGCGCTAGGCACTGGGTTGGTGCCCGACTAGCGCCTAATGCCTTTTAGAACATTGATGAAGACATTTCAAAAGCTACAAGGGTATATTTGTCTAAAACACATAAATAGTCCTACTAAGAGAATTAAAAACATCTAGTCTCATTTGTGCTCTTGGACCACTTTTTGCATATTTAGGTAATTAACTCAATATTTAATCAATAGCTCGGGGAACAAAAAGGAAGAATAAGAACTTTAAGGAAAGGAAATTTTACACAATCACAAAAAAGGGTGAGTAGACTCCGGGTGACCCATTCGCCCGATCCCCTAAGGCATTGGCCTATGATCACCCCTACCTAGGGGTGCAAATGAGTCGAGTCGCTCGTGAGCCGCTTGTGAGTTGCTCAGTCATAGCTCGAATCGGGTTTGGTCAAACTCGAGCTCGAGCCAGCTCGTTAAGCAATCGAGCCATTAACGAGCCTTCTACTTTTAGGTTTGCTAGCTCGCGAGCCTAGTTTTATATGTAATACATTTATTAATACTAATATATATTAATTAATAAATTGGAGTAAGAATTATTAAAAATACTAAATGAAACCCCAAAATTTATCATTAACTCATTATTAAGTCAAATCATTTTGAGTTTAAGTCTCATAGTGATGTGTTAATTAAAGTGCACAAAATAATTAATTAATAACAAATTAATGTTATATGTAATCTAAGAATAAAAGTCACACAAAAATGAAAATGGTGCTTTAATCATTGAAACAGTTTTTTATGATTTTTATAAAAACGATTTTTTATGATTTTTACTAATTACGATTTTGTAAATGATTCAAATCGTGATTTTAATAACTCGAACCAAAATTATCGAGCCAATTGAGCTGAATCGAGCCTTCTAAATATTTGTGAGTCGAGGTCGAGCCTCAAGAGAATATATTTTGAGCTTGAGCTCAAGCCTATAGAGAATCGGGCTCAGCTCGGCTCGGCTTATTTGCACCCCTACCCCTAAGCCTCGGGATCACCGATACGTATCGTGACTAGTGGTTGAGGTTGGCCTATGAAATAGTGTCCAGTGTCCTCCCCCAATTGGCCAATTGGAGAGAAACACAGATGACTAATTCACCTCCAAAGGGTGAATAGACTTTATTATTCGGTCATTTCTTGTTTATTTACTACTTAACAAAAAAACATAACTTATTTGCTCATACCAAGATTGACTTATTCATTCAACCAAAAATAGGAGTCCCTCCACTTCGGAGTTATATGGAACAGACCATATTTCTCTTTTGGCCTTTTGTCCCCAATTTTACAAAAAATGAGGCTACAAGAGAAAGTAGTGACCTCTTTTTTATATTTCCGAAAATATGACCAACTTCACAGATATAGCATAGAACAAAGTGACTCCGGCCAAAGTGACTCCGGCTAAAGTAACTCTTGCCACAGTGACTCCGGCCAAAGTGACTTGGGCTACAATGACTCGCTGACTTCGTCGGCGGCAACACCACGGCCGTCGCCCCACCGCCGTCAACACCACAGTCATCGCCCCTGACCCCCTACGCCCCCTACCCCCGGCCCAGTCGTAGTCCCATTTATACACACTGGAGCAACTAGCCAGCGTCATCTCCTCCATGATTTTATATTTTTAAATTTTAATTGGGTATGAGTTGTGGAATTTATCCCATGATTTGTTATTTGTTATGACTTCTGGCATTTAAGTTTCTTTTTCAAGGTGAAGGCAAAAAAAGTGGAGAAAAGGTAGATGGAACACAAGGGGTACACAAAGCATATAACTTGCAGAATAAAATCGTATATAGGCTGGTAGTCGATGCTTAAATTTACCATGCTGTAATATTATGAAATTATGCTAGTTATGAGATTTTTTAAGAAGTAATGCATAGTATAATATTTTTTTGGCATTCGGAATTATGTTAAATAACCAGAAAAGTGAACTGATGGTTAATGTCCAACACATGTTCCCGACGGAAGGATAAATTGGTTATTTGACATTATTTAGACACCTCATTCAGCACCCAAAGTAAACAGTTCGACATCACAATGTCACTTGATCTATATATACATCTTAATCTAAACATGACTTTATGAAGAAAAAAAGTAAACAATCCCTCCTTGACTCCTTCTCCAGCACCACTACCACATAGAGGCAGACCAAGTCCCGGAGCGGTTAGGACCAGAACTGGCCGGTTCCCAGTACCAGACCGGTGTGACCCGTTAGGTTGGTTAATATAAGCTCAAAAGTTGAGCCCGAACTTTGGTATTATTGCTATTTACTCAAGCATAATCTATTTCTGGTACAACCAACTCTTTCAACATTATTGATTGACTCTAATCAATAAACTATACGGTTAATAGATGTTTACTAATTCTATGAAACAAAATAAACAATGAAGGAATAGTCTTGATATCTTCTGGCATCCTTTTAAAATCTAGACCAAGTGATTTTGGATCGTAACAACTAGTGTCCATTCACGAGGGACTATTACCGAAAGATGACCCTTACTAGTTTGGACCACCCAGTAATAATCTATAGCTGAGAGTATTAACCATGGACGCCCAATAGTTGGGATTATTATCTTCAATATTTCCAAAGTTTTATCTATTCTCTAATTCTCTTTCTTTTGAAGCATATCTTTCTTCCTTTTTTGCCATACCCAGTAGATTTGTAGGTTGTTTCATTCCCAATGGATTTTTCATTCTCTTCCACCTTTTCCAAATTGTGTTTTTCTCTTCCCATGAAAAACCTTCTTCATCCAAATTAGAAGAAATGTATACAACCTTGAGGCTCAAGCTTCTTCTTTTTTACATTTATTGATAAATGAATCTGCCCTAATTTTTTCATATACCATTCTTGGGATTCAGGGTTCTTGAGCACCTAGAATTGCAAATAAGAGCTCATGGTGAAGAAATGGGTTTCTGTGAAAATTGGTCCTAAGTGGCTAAGTATTACAGCGTAAAGAACAAATCAAACAATAGGGAGGCACATAATCACAACTAAGCCTATGTAAACTTTACGCCATTCACTGAGTTTAGTCTTCACCTTCAAAGGGTGGAAACCAAAGGGGAAAAAAGAAAGAGAGAAAAACCTAACTTATTTTATGGGAGGTCAATGGGCTAACTGGCTGTTGCTAAAGAGTTGACAGACCAATTTCAATATACATAGGAGGGATCATCTGATGGATGGTTAAGTACAAATTGAACTTATTTCACTCTTTTACTTTAGTGTACCACAATACCATGTTTTGATCGAATTACTCTCTATAAAAGGCACATAATAGTCTATATTTTTTTAAAATTTATCCAAAAGTAGCAGGACACTATTTTGAAGAGGCAGCTGTAATTTATGCAGTGGACTCCTCTGAAATGATCAAGGTAGACAGTAAGAAATTGCCATCACAAGGATTTATTTTTCAAGAGCTGCCTTGAACATTACAGCTTTGGGGCAAAAGTCTTACCAGAAAATATTACCTGCTTATGAATGAAGAAGTTGGAGTGTTGCACCACTATCTCAACGTACACATGAGAATTATACTATTTTGATTGGGGAAACAGTTATCTCGTGTAACCAACAAAGCTTTTTGGCAAATAACCTCATTAGTATCCGAGTCCCAAAGATCACCCTCCGCCGAGATGGGAATCTTCTTCTCGTTCTCTGAGACATGTCCAATAAATTCATCCCCGAAAATGAAAAGTCTGGAATATCATATCCTCCCTCACAAGCAAGAGCTTCAGCAAAATCAGCTGTAAGTTCTGGAAAATCCCATCCAGGATGAACATCACCTGACACAGAAATTCCTATTTCCTTCGTATCAGCTTTTGTTTCAGCTTTTGTTTCAGCTTTTGTTTCGTGTGTAGGCGTCAAAGTCAAATTACCCAAAGAAGAGACAAGCAACTTCTGAAATTCATAAAGTAGAAACTGAGAAAGTGAATTCACCTCATTTGTCAAAGCAACCTGAAATAAATCCTTCAAATTTGCAAATTCATCAATCTCAGTTTTCCGTTCAATACTATGATCATCCACAATAGAAATCATACCCAACGACTGATCAAATGAATCAAGATGCTCAATATCGGCCTGAAGTAATACACCCGAAATGGAAATCATAGTTTCACAGGACCGATAATCCTCATTAAAAGGTATAAAGTCTAAATTATTATTGGAACCCGTAGTAATTGAAAAGATTTCACCTAATTCTTCTTCAATTGTCAGCTTTTTGGAAATGTTTGCATTCATCAACATAATAGCTCGTGTAATCCCCGTAAGAAAAATGTTGATCTCATGCCCATTCCACCCTCCCAGGAATAAATAAAGAATCACCTCCCTTCTCAACTATTCATATAAATCCTCCGTAAGAATTGGCATCATACAAAACAATAAGAGATTTATTCAACTCAACCCTCCAAAACCTCCTTTCAAAAAGGATCTTGAGTATAGAATCCTTTAACCAATTAACTCCCGCAATATCAAGATTCACAACTGATGTTAATCCCCACTTCGTTTCGGAGATGCAAATCGTGGAGTCAATAATTTTAAAGTGAAAATTCTTACTCTCAATGGAGAAATCAAATTCTTCTGCATTTTGAGGAGCCATCCATTCATCGTGAAACTTTGCTTCAGCTTTCCTCCCTCTTCCACCCGATGGCCACTGTTGATTGCCTCAAGATCTGTACGAGCCCCAATCTATTCGGCAGGGTTGAATTCGCTCACCCCAAATCCGTTCACATGCTCCAACCGACCATTTGGGGACTGCCCTAGGGGCGGGCAAAAATACCGAACCGACATGGTACCGAACCGAACCGACATGGTACCAGACCGAAAAATGGGTTTAGGTCTAAGATCGAACCGAACCGAACCGTTTGAATAGTAACGGTACGGGTACGGGTTCGGCCAAATATTGGGCCGGACCGGACCGCGCCCACCCCTACTGCCCTTCATCCAGCCATGTCTCCTCTGAAGGCAGGCCCTCCTTTTCTGGAGTAAAAGCCGGACTGCCATGGCCGCCGTGCCTTGTAACCACGCGCGCCCAGCTCCACCCTGCCTCGGGACTGGTCTTTCGCCTGGTCATCCGAACTGACGAGTGGAGCCCCACCTTCGAGTCTCCTGCTCTGTTTGCTAGCGGTAGTCTCCGATTCGGTGACGAAAATCACCGATCGGTACTCTAGCTCGCGCCGACGATGCAGATGGCATCCCCAAACCCTCCTCCACGTAGTATAATATATTTAATTAATTAATTATTTCTTTCATTCAGATTGTCACCATGTGATTGAATTTATTATGTAAGACCATTGTATTTATTTTCCATAAAATCTTTCTTTATTTATCAACAAAAAGTTATTTTAGATATAATATTTTCGCAAATCAATAAAATACTAAAAATCAACAAGATCAACTAGAGTTTTATAAGTTTCAACATATTTAACCCATTTCACTCATTTCAATGTTACCCCTTCGTCTCGTAGGAAGGTCCTCGTGGATAAATGTCAAGATTTTTTAGACAAGTTGTTAAATAAAGTAATTTTGGTTAAAAAGAGAGAAAAGAGAAAATTTTGAAAAAAAATAAAAATACAAAGTGAAAATAATTAAAGACGGATAAGAGGTAATGATTAAATTTTTGAGACTTGACATATAATGATTAAATTTTTATTTGAGTAAATGTGTAATTAAAGAGAGTAAATCAATATATATATATGTGTGTGTGTATATATATAAGGGGTACTTTTTTAAGAGCATACGACATGCCACATAATCCTATCATGTCATCATATATAATAATTATGTAATAATTAATAACTTTTTATACATATTATTTTTATTACATTCTATTTTTATTGCATATTGATACGGAAACAAAAGAGATAGAATCCACCTTATTTGGCAGCTTTTTGAGAACTTATTACGGAGTACTTATTAATTTGGATACTTACTAAATTTAGAAATCGGAACCACAACAATTAATAGTTATTCGTACACATAGGCTATATTTTATGTCAATTATTCAATTACTTTTTATACCTTTTAGTTTTTATTAAATTCTATTGAAGAAATAAATTATCCTTGTTTTGCCCACCTAACAGATAAACCAACCAAATTCCTATTAATATTGTTCTTTAAAGTTACTTTATACACTTGGTCTAATATAAGTCGTTAAATAATACTAAAGTTTAGTATTTTATTTTTATAAAATAACTTTTTTTTACATTGAGTAATGATTCATTTTTTACATTTTCAATATAACGAAATAATGACTATAATATAAGAGTTCACTAATAAAATTCAAATATACTTATTTCATACCACGTTAAATGTGAAATTTTGAAAAAATAGTGTTTTGAGATGCCTAATAAAGTAATTTAAAGTATGTGAGATAAACTAAGAAACTTTTGTGTGAATTCTTTAAAATCGGGATCATAACAATTGTGTTTAGTTGAGGTGCTTATGTAGAAGTCAAATTTAAATACTGCGTATTTTTTATATAATTTTATTTTATTTTATTAACGATATACGTAGTATATTTTATTTTTTCATAATTCGGGAGATTTTGACAATTCAGACTAATGAGTTAGATTTAATTTAATTCATTACAGTAGAATCCGACGATTTGACTAGTTTTAGTATTATGAAACGGCTGTATATTAGACCAAGTTTATTTTGCTTTTGCATCACATGAAGAGCCCGCTTGGTAACATCAAAATCAGTTGAATCAGTTGATTCTGCTGAAATTTATGAAGTTCTGGCAGAAGTGACTACATTGGCTGATTTTGTTGATTTATGTAAAATTTATATTCAAAATATAGTTTATTAATTAAATAAAGAAAAAAATGAAAAAAAAGAAAGATAAAATGGTCATCTACAGTAACTTAAGTCAATACATCTAGAAAAGTAACTCTAACCCTACGTTTTCTTATTATTACACAATTGAGTGCGCGAAATCAAAATTTACTTGTTTCACTGAAAAGTTCACTGATAAACCTGATAATCCGAAAAATATGGTTACCAAATGGATTCTAAATTATACTACGTATATGCTTATGAAAAAACAAATTTACAATTAGCTAAATTATGTACTACCCGTGCATCACACGGGTTTGAAAAATAAGTTATTTACTAAAATAGAATGAAAACCTTTAAATGGAACACCCAAATATAAAAAGTGAGAACCTTTCGATAGAACGTGGAGTACCAAGTAGCTACCAAAAATAGAGTTCAAAACCTGCCAAACCAATAGGCTGTTTGATAACACAGTTTTTCGGCTTATCAGGCCTATCAGTCAATTTTTTCACCAAACACGTAACTTTTTGCTTTCCGCGCTGAATTATATAATAAGCAGAAAAAGTAAGGCCGGAGTTATTTTCCTGGCTGTATTGGATGAAGTTACATTTGATGATCATTTTAGTTTTTTTTACATATTTTTTTCTTTATTCTATAAATAAAATATATTTTTAATTTTTTTTCTTAAATCAGCAGAATCAGCCAATCCAGCCACTTCAGCCAGAAATTCATAAATTTAAGCAGAATCAGCCAAATCAACCAATTTTTGTGCTACCAAACGGGTTCTAAGAGACAGTTCGGTAACACTATTTTTTTGGCTTATCAACCAACTTTTTCACCAAGCATATAATTTTTGCTTTCTCGCGCTGAATTGTGCAATAAGCAGAAAAAGTAAGGTTGATGTTACTTTTCTGGCTGTATTGACTGAAGTTACTGTAGATGATTATTTTAGCTAATTTTACATATAATTCTTTCTTTGTTCTATTAATAAAATATATTTTAAAGTTTGTTTTACTAAATCAGCAGAATCAGCCAATGCAGCCCCTTCAATCAGAATTTCATAAATTTCAGCAGAATCGGTCAAATCAACCAATTTTTGTGTTACCAAACGGGCTTTAAATGTTTTAATGTCATTGGGCCAAAGTGTGATCCAATCCACTTAGAAAACAACACGCCCATGATCCGGAATAACCTAACCCTGCTTTCGCTTGTATTTAAACCAAGACCATCCGATTTTCCATCTCTCCACGCCTCACATCTCAGGCAGACGGTCGGCGCAGCCTACACCCCGCCGTTCGAATTCAGGTTAGCTCAACTATTACCGACTCTCTTCTTATTTTATCGCATCTTGTTGTTTGTTCTTGCATATCTTATATCGTATCAGCTGCGAATATATATATATATATATATATATATATATATATATATATATATGTATGTATATATGTAGCTTATAGAATGTTGTTGAACGTCGTTCTTTATCTGTTCTTTCTTTTATACGATGCATGATTTTCTCAATTAAGGAGTTGTAATTATAGGCGAGTTACTTTGTATTTTGGACTATTCAAATATTCAATTCGGCTGCTTCGGTCATTGGTAGTCATGTTCTAATTTTTGTTGTGGTTTCATTATTGTTTTTTAAATGAAATTTTCGGGCATAGAGTTTGGTGTGAGAGAACTATCTTTTCAGTTTAATACGGAGACATGAAACATAGCGTTCACGTATGAATTGTAAATTTCTTAGTAACCTTAAAGGATGGTTCTCCCAGTCTTTATTTATTAGGACGCATTTTATTAGCATATTTGCGATACATTCCCTTGTTCCATGCATTTGATATGGGAAGTATAATAACTGAATATGCTGGTTGTCATTCCTCTTGTATTGTTTTTAGGTAAGAAGAAATGGTGAAGCATAACAATGTTGTGCCAAACGGTCACTTCAGGAAGCATTGGCAAAACTATGTCAAAACCTGGTTTAACCAACCTGCCAGAAAAACCAGGAGGCGCAATGGTAATTTGCTACTTTTTACATATTGTGTGGGCGATCTTTAGTTTCTATCTGCAAGATTGCATCTTGCTGAAACTCATGTCTACTGGTATATCAATGAATTATGCAGCTAGACAAAAGAAAGCTGTTAAGATTTTCCCCAGACCCACTGCTGGTCCACTACGTCCAATCGTCCACGGGCAAACATTGAAGTACAACATGAAAGTCAGAGCAGGAAGAGGGTTTTCACTTGAAGAGCTGAAAGTAATTCCTTAACTCTTATCTGTGAAATCTAGGGTGTATGAGGATGATGTTAACCTCTAGCTGGGTTCCAACTGCTACAATTCAGCATTAAAAAACTTTTCAACCATGATGTGATTCTTAAGACATCATGTGATTCTTAAGAGTAAATTATGAAGTAATGCTCAATTGACACCAAATGCTTTTGACTCTCTGCATTTGTTAACATACTTCTTGTTAAATGGTTAGAATGACCATTTCTTCGTGGAATATGCTATTTGCTGAAGTAAGAGCATGCACTAGGTGGTGCACCCTCTCACTTTTGAGGCAAATTTAGAAATGGTTTATAATCTAAATTCGAGTTTGTCCTTTGGAGTGCATGCAATCAAACTTGTAATCTTATTTTTAAAACAAATATTTTCTTGAACCTCATTTAACCTCATCATATTTGTCTACAAAATGATTTTCTATACAGTTGTGCCTTTTATAACTTGCAAAAGCAATTTTTGTTGTATCTGTACAACTTTCATTCATTAAAAACAACTCTTCAGCAAACTTTTTACAAACCAAATCTTGGACAATTATGTAGTATAGTATTACCGAGTTGTAGTTACAATGGTGCTTTTTTAAAAGCTTTTTCAAACACAGTTTGATATTTAGGGTGTCATTTTAATGGGAAAAAATGGCACCCATATTACTATTGGACTTTTCAATTCCAAAAATATGACCTTTTCACCTTTTCCCAAAAACTAACTTCTGCCTATTTAAACGGACGGCTAACTTAATCTTCTCCTAAAATCAATTTATTTCGCCTCTTATTTCCCTTCTTTTCCGCTATTATCTCTCTCATGTTAACGCCAATTCCTCTCTCAACCCTTCCTACTTGGAAACTACCATCTTCGTCTTATTCGCCACCTGGAGGAGTTGCCTGCTTTTGTTATTTGTTCTTTCTTTTCATGTGATCATTAATGTCTTCATTCCATTTAAGTGCAAAATCTAATGACGGTTTATGTTTACATCTCTGGCCAGTAACATCTTCAACCACCATTCCAAATATCATATTTGCCATTTTTGCTTTTAATTTTACAAGGAAATTCGATTTTATAATAAAAATTCATGGCATACCTCTAAGATCCATAGATATTGGTGTAAGTAACTGTGTCCATCTCTTAATATAGAGGTCCACCGTCTTTGTTTTCATTTCATGCAACTTGCCTACCTTTTGCATGGGAACTACTTGGAAATTTGAATACTCGTATACCAGTGACTACACCTTTTAAAGACCAATCCTGAACTACACCTACTAACCACAGTAGGTTGAATTACTATACATTTTTTATCAAGTCACTTTTATAAATTTCACAGCAGTGACTCATGCACACTTCAAAAACACATTACACATCTTAGTGTCTCATATTAGCTTTTGTATTTAATTCAACACCCCTGTACTACGCTATCTACCAGTCACTGCTATCGCCCTACATAATACACCGGAAACCAGTCGACGGGGATTCAGACATGCTTCATGCATGGACTGCAAATTTAATCCCCCACTATTTAGCAGATCCCTCATGATGAAGAATAAAAAAGATATGGTTTTCTCATTTCAACATTAATTAATGACACCTATTCAAAATATATCTTAATGATGCCCTAGATGATTTATTAGTACCTTCGTCCCTCTCTTACCTTGCAACTGGACATTTTTTGTTGTCCTCAAAAAATTATTCCTGCAAGTTGCCGTATGTTGTTTTCGATCCGCCGAAAACAAAGTTTTAAAATAATATTACTCCTCCTTTCTCGCCTTCAGTTATAGTACTCCATTCAAACCATTTAATGACCCTTTTTTGCACAGTAATAGCTGGTAATTAAGTAGTTTTCATATTTTAAACCCATGTGGGTAGCATAGTAATCATATTATTGGCACAAACTTTTTTAAGTCACTTTTTTGTCTTTAAGGCTCTATTTAGTATTATACTTAAGAAAGGCCTTTTAGTGGCTATGACATGTACTCTTTCTTTGTATGAGGTTCTCCTTTTACAGCAAAGGGAATGAAAATTTTAAATGGGATGTGTAGTGATATATTCTTTGTCCAGGTCATTTATGGATTTAAGTGCTTATTATCTCTGTATTGTACTAGGCTGCTGGTATTCCCAAGAAGTTGGCCCCAACTATTGGTATTGCAGTCGATCATAGGCGAAGGAACAAATCTCTTGAAGGCCTTCAGACCAATGCCCAGAGGCTCAAGACCTACAAAGCCAAGCTGGTGATCTTTCCAAGGCGTTCTAACAAATTTAAGGCAAGCTTCGAATTTGTGTATATGGGACCTTTGTTTTTTGAGTTTTATATTTTTACATACAATTTGCTTTGAAAATATGGGCACTAGCAAAATATTAAACAAACCCTCATCTTTCATTGCAGGCTGGTGATTCAACGCCTGAGGAACTTGCGAATGCAACACAAGTCCAGGGTCCAATTTTGCCTATTGTCCGGGAGAAGCCTACTGTTGAATTTGTTAAGGTTACTGAAGAGATGAAATCATTCAGAGCTTATGACAAATTACGTCGTGAGCGCGTGAACAAACGACACCATGGTGCTCGTCTGAAGAGGGCAGCAGAGGCAGAAAAAGAAGAAAAGAAGTAATCTGTTCAGCTGCTTAGTTATTTATCGTTGTCTGTTTCGGATTTCACCCAAATCAACAGTTTTTGATATTTTCATTGGAATTGAGGTTTTCTATTATCCAAACTAATCACAATATGTTATTCTCAGATGTTTTTGGTTTCTTTAGATGTCCACTGAGTTGTGTTTTATTTTCTGTGCATCAATGTTGCATTAAGCTTTCAAGTTTCAACAATCGTCTCATATATTCTGGTAGAAGCTGGGCTATTCATGAACTCATGAATCACTTAAAATGCCAATTAATCCCTCAACGTTTTTGAAGTTATTTCATTTACATTATTGTGTATTTGTGTTATTCATTTACAGTAGATTTTTTTGTCACTATTGATAAGCGTATACATGATTTGCTATTCTCCCCACCCCTAGCCGCCAATTTGTTTGGTTTATCCACACGTTTGCATATTGCGAATTCGAAAACCTTGGAATACCCCTTGTCCCTTTAAAAATATCGGTTGCGGAATACGCAGCGTTATTGGATACGGTCAAGGACTTCCTTAATGCTTGGATTACGAAAACACTCTCCTATGCCGGTAAGATAGAGCTAATTCGATCGGTGATCCAAATCGTTTTGGTTCCAGGTTTTCTCGGTGCCACAAACTGTGTTGGATAGGATTGTTTCGTTTTGTAGAATTTTCTTATGGGAGGGGGGGGGGCAATTCTCAAAGGTGGCTTGGGAAGACATATGTCTCCCAAAAGAGGAGGGTGGCTTGGAAATCCACAATGCTAGAATATGGAACGATAGCCTCCTTGCTCGCACACTTTGGGATGTCCATAACAAAAAAGATACCTTATGGGTTCGATGGGTTAATGACATATATCTCCATGGGAGAAGTTTGGGATTTTATCCCACACAGTCGTGACTCACGATTGATGAAGAGGTTGGGGCAAATTAGAGATAAAATCCGTCGATGCTTTAATAATTTGAATGATACGATTTTGAGCCTTAATTCTAGAAGCATTAATGGCAAACTTGCCTCCGCCAAGGTTTACGAGCTTCTAAGAGTTAAAGGGATCCCTAGGACTTCGATGAGTTTCATTTGGAAATCCTATATCCCCCCGAAATTTTCATTTAATGTTTGGTTGACTTTGAGGAACCGGTTGCCTACCCAAGATAGCCTCAGTTACCTCCATATGGTTAATAGATGTGACTTGTGTAAGTGTGGATTGGAATCAATTCCACACCTATTCTTCCTATGTCCATTTACTTGTAGGGTATGGGACAAGATTCAAGAGTGGATGGGATTTGGGCATCAAATGTCTACATTGCTTAGCTCAATCAAATGGATTTCGAAGAAGCACAAAGGATCAACGTTGAAAGCAAAGGCGGCCCGAATTGCTCTATGCGCCGTGGTGTATTACATATGGCATGCAAGAAATGAGATCCGCTTTGATGATGGCAAGAAGACCGAGGAGGACGTTATAGCCAAGATTAAGCATATCGTCTATAAGATACTATATAGTATCTATCCATATGAATTGATAAACTTTTGAGTGGGCCAAAATCAAGTGGGAGGTCACGACATGTATACCGCGGTATGGTCACACTGTACACTGCGACATGGATTTTCTGGATGCCGCGGCATGGACCTCTTGGATGTCGCGGCTTGGGCACATGAGATACTGCGGCATAGGCATCTTGGACGCCGCGACATGAAGCAGTGTTTTGGACTTAGGGTGTGTGCAACTTGCAATACCTTTGTATTTTGTTATGACTTGAACCTTATGATCTGTGTGCGTGCATGTGCAGCATCGATGTATATTTTTTGAATTTTGATGGGACAAGTATTTATACTTGGTCCTTTTGGCGTAGATTAGATCAAATAAAAACCTCCTTTCATCCCTACATTATGTGGGGGGGGGGTTTAGAAGATCTATGATACTTGATGTATAGTTTTCTTGGGTGTCAATATATATTTACATTTCATCCAAGAAAAAAAAGCGAATTTGAAAATCTTTAAAAATGTTTTGAGAATTCCTACTAGAATAGGGATGGACTAGGCCCAGTCCGGTTCTGGTTCGGGCCTGGGCCCAGCCGGGCTGGGAAGGTTTTGGGTAAGGCCTGGAACCGACTTGGGAGTCTACTGGTTCCGGGCCGGTTCCGGTTCATTTTTTTTTTGTGTTTTCTTATTTATTTCAATCCCCATCCCCCCATCCCTCAAACCCCTCAGATACACCTAGCGGCTAGCGCCCACTTAAACCCAGCCCAAACAAAAAAAAAACAAAAAAAAGGGCCCGAATTAGGTGTGGACCAGCAGGGCTGGTTCGCCTAGGCCCGGAACCGGAACCGGTTTTCCGGGACGGGTCGATACAAATAGTACCGGTCCGGGCTGGGCCGGTTGGCCCGGAACCGGTCCACCCCTATACTTGAACATTGCGCTCGTGGTTGTAAACGAATCTAATAATTTGTGCTCGATTCGCGATTCGAATTCGGAAAATTCAAATACAAATTCAAATAAGAATATTAATCAAATATATTCGATTAATAATAAGGGCAATATTAATATCAATATTAGTAATAATAGTAACAACACTATAATAACTTTTAAAAGATAGCAATACCCTCAAAGTGTAGCCCATATAAACATTTTTGCATACAGATTCCAAGTCAATTTGTAATAAACCAGAATATAAATACGAATACAAATTAATTTTTGGGTTCAAATGTCTTTCAAATACAATACAAATAATTATGTATTCGATATGAAGAATAAAATTAGAGCTGTTTGACTTTGATCCATATAATTATCAACTTATTTCACACATTATGGGTATAATTTGTAATGTGTGTGTTAGTGTTTACTTCAAAAAGTTTGAAATAGATTTACATTTATTAATCATAAAATTAATTCACTTTAGTATATTGTGCAACATCTAAAAATGCATTGATCTGCTAAATTTAAATTCTAAATTTAAAACACATATTAAGTCATAGCAGACATTTGCAAAAAAAAAAAAAGTCATAGCATGCATTTACAACATAAAAAATACGGAGTATAAGAAAAGTTATTTTAAAGTGATATTTGACTAATATTTAAACTATGCTCAAATTGATTCAATATTCGTATATGATTCGTTAACTATTCGTATCGTTAAACAAATACAAATACAAATCGAAGTTAATATTCGTTTCATATTTGAATTCGAATTCGTATTCGAAAAAATTAAACAAATACAAATACAGTACAAAATCTCATAATTCGACCCGATTCAATTCGTTTACAACCTCGTGCCATGCAATAGCTTTATTCTTATATTGTTCAAATTTGATTCTTCAGCTTTGACACTTGCAGACTGTCCAAGTTATATCCTGGATCACAAAAAAACTCAAAACTATTAAATTCCAAATTGAATTTGCTATGAAGTATAATTATTAGTAGTCTACACTGTACAGCCAAGCCTAAATACACTAAATGTAGTAAAGAACTGAAGAATATCCATGAGAGCTATGGAGAAGTAAACATTATTAGAATGCCCCAGAGAACATCATGAGTGCCAGATGAAAAAAGTATAGCATTTAAAAGAAATATAGAAGAGAGGTTTAGGTAACAGAAATATAACACAATCTTTTAAATATGATTGGATTTCTATTGAAGACAAAAGAAGAGAAGTAGTAGACCTCATTTTTGAAAAGATTCGAGTAACAAGAGGATAAAGTAACTACTTGGTTTTGCATACCAGAATAATGAGAGTACATCAACGTAGCAATAGTAATTAGTAACACTAATCAGAACGTTTTTATTCACGATATACTCTAATCTATTTCCAAATCACCATTTCAATTGTTGTTGATATATACGTAGTATTTTTTTAATTATATAAAAAACTCCATATAGGCAGTCTTTATTTTCAAATAGTCTTTATTACAAGGGAATTCCTAATTTCTTTATAATAATGGATTTGCTACGAAACCATATTAGTTCTTCAAAACTTGAGAATGAAAGTGTCTGTAACTTTGTTAATCTAAAAAAAGTCATTGTAATCTAATATGGTAGCCAATTTTACCATGTTTCTTTTATCATCTACAGTATCTCCTCCTTTATGGGGTAGATTAATCTAATTTGAAGTAAATTTTCAACCCATTGAAGTGTTTTTTGGTCTTTCGATATGACGATATTAATGATGAATTTTTTGGGGGACGATTTGTTGGTTAAATAAAATCTCTGAGTTTGCTATGGCAATCTTTTAAATAAAATAGGATTTGGATTAAACTCACTCATATTATTTAAAATAAAAAAATTCTCCAATCATGGATGGAACACAATAGATCTCCTCAAATACGATTGACATTACATTTTCTCTAACTTAGACTTCTTCACTCATAAATAGAGACGTTATTATTATTTTATTATTCTTGTAAAAGGTTTAAATATTTAGGGAATAAAAAAACTCCTATTTGGCAATTTTGAACATGTTTTACTCCTATTTGAGCAAGACTAACTGGATATCATTGGAACTGTGGGTGTTTGCTACACAAAGACAATGAACAATGTCTACTCTCAAAAAATATTCAAGTTTGTCCTGCGGGTCACTTAAAAAATCCAAAAAAAAAACTCCCAAGGCATTACTATCTATATGACATAGTTAGGCCAAATTACCAAATTGAAAAAAAAAGAGGTGTCTTACCAGATTGGTAAAGAAACCATTTGAGACAAATTGGTAAAAAAAGAAGAAGCCCCTGTGACAAATTGGTCAATTTTTTTGAGTGAGACACTTCCGATCCTCAATTTTAGAATTCCCGACATTTCATATATTAACTTATTAAGTATTGTGAAATTGACATTTTCACTCTTTCTACATTGATTTTGTCATCAAAATGGGAGGACTAAAAATGCCAACAAACGTGTTTGATAATAGTAATTGGCTGCTAACTAATAGGTGGTTGAATCAGTAGATTGATACTAACGGATTACATTAGCCTTTTTAACTAACCGCTTTCATTAGCATTTTGAAATAAAATGTTAGTAATTTAGCTGTTTGCAATTAGCTTTTAAGACGTAAAATGATCATTAAGGGTATGGATTTAAAAGTTTATATATTTAATTAAATTTTATTTCTTTTATTTTTAGTAAGTCTTGGAAAAAGTTTGAAAAATTATATTTACATTTATTTTAAATAGCCACTGACACTATCATTTTTAAAATATGTATATTATTGTGAGAACGCACACATAAATTTTAGTATTAATATTTTAAATATGACTATTTATTAAATTAAAAAAAAAAACTACTCGATTCTGTTAACTTTTTTTAAGTAATTACTTTCATTAGCGGTTTGAAGCAAAATGTTAATAACTTAGCTATTTGTGATTAAATGTTAAGACA